TGCGAGTCCTGCCGGGAACCCCCGCCGTTGCCCAGCAAGTGGCTGTGCGACAACAAGTGCTTCTGCTCCGCGGACACTATCCTCGATTATGCTTCCTGTCTGTGCTGCGTGAAGGGACTGTTTTATCACTGCACGGACGGCAGCAGCGCGAACGGGATCGACGGCGAAGCGGCCGGGAGCTGCGCGGACGAGCCCTGCTCCTGCACCGGGAACAAGAGGGCGTCCAGGTGGGCTTGCCTCGGCGCCCTCACGCTCGTCATGCCCTGTCTGTTGTGCTATTGGCCGTTCAAGGGCTGCGTCGCTCTCTGCGAACTCTGTTACGCCCGCCATGCCGCCCAGGGCTGCAGGTGCAACCCCAACACTTTGGGCAACGCCGGCAACAGGCATCATCCGATCGCCAACGACATCGGCGACTCGAGGGACCCCGAAAAGAGGTTGCTCGACCCGGTCACCCCAGAACTCTAACCGGTGCGGTCGCGTTGTCGAAACGGTTTCCGGGGCGATTCGAAGTGGACTTTGAAAATGACGAGCGCACGGGGGCCGCGAGCTGGACTCTTATAGGGGTTATCGAATAACGCAGGGAGCAAAGCGAATCGCATTAAGTACAAGAGTTGCATTTAAGTCGAGAAAACGATGTCGAAGTTCTGGACGAGTTTGTACGTCTGATGTCGCGAGTGTTTTATTTATTATTCTTCCATTAAGAGCGAGAGAGAGAGAGAGCGAATGAGGCGGGATCACGCGAAGAAACAATCAACGCGGGAGTAATGGAGCGGGTACACGCGCGAGAGAGAAAGAACGTGTCGAGCAGAACACCGATGGGCTGCGCCGGGCACTGACGAATACGAACGCTCGCAGATTTGAAAATACTAAAAAAATTTGAGAATTCATATAGAAAATTCGCGGTTTGTCCAATTGTTAGAAAGACTGATTCGTTATCTTTCTCTCTCTCGCGTCGTGCACGCCCGTGCCCGCGAGCTCTTCGCCGAGCCCTCGATCTGCCCATCGTCGGTACACCTCCGTACGCGATAAACGGTACGCGCACACACAGATAGCGAATGCGAAGAAACTCGAGAACGAATGAATGGAGAGCGAGAGAAAATGAATTCTAGAAGAAAACCACTAAAGTATATTAAAACGCGATCCAGGTACGCGCACCTGTACACGCGTGTACGTGTGCGTAGATATATATAGATATATATGTATATTGTATATTACATTTGTATAAAGAGGAAACATTTTTTTTCTACGGTTAATTTATTCGTTGGCTGAATACGCCAAGTAAGATAGAAACACGACGAAAGTACACGAGACGTTTGAACTCGGATGTGTAGGCATCCTGCTGCGCGTACGTATGCCAGATAAGGGTGTGCGCAATCCCGAATTCTCGAGTCGAACCGGAAAAGTGTCGTCGAAATTTCGATGCTTCGATTTCAACTTTCCGCGTACGCGCGTAGTTCGACTTCGGATTTGTTCGGCAATTATTAGTCTCGTCGTTGATTCCCGAGTTCGGGAACCGAACGCGTCCGATCTTTCTCGAGCTCGGGAACCGAACGATTGCACGCTTACGCCGAAAGATCGAATCAAATTCGCTCAGAACGATCGAGCATTCGAACGTCGTCGAAGCAGCGAAATCTCGTGACAAGTTTTCCAGCCTAGAAGTTCGGGTTCTCGAACGATTCGCGCACCTTTAACGACGGATTACGGAGAGTCCCTGGAAAATCCTGTGTTCTCCGTCGTAACCGCGTCAGAATGGATGATAACGACGGAGAAACACGCGGGATACAGAACGAGGAAAGAGAAAGAGGTGTGTGCGTGTGCGTGCGTGTGTGGATGGTTCTGAAAAGAAGCATTGTTCGCGTTTTCCTTCGCTCGGTACACGATATATACGCTTTTATACTCGTTAACACTGGAGTCGTATCGAGCTGTATGACACGAGATCGAGATAGTGCACGCTGTACGAGAGCGAGAACGTCTTGTAAGAATGAGTATTTTCGTGTGTAAGTGTGTACGCGTGTGCGTGCGTGTTGTGTGTGCGTGTGGGGACGGCGAGAATGCGGGCAGATGGAAAAAGGACAATTGCGTGGGGGGCATATGTGGCGAAGAGATCGGGGCACGCGTGAAATCTGCTCCGTTCTACTTGTACGTACACGCGTTCGAGCGTCCTTTCCATTTTGTTAATTCTTTTCTTTTTCCAGTATTATCTAGTCGTGCAAGTTTTATTAAATATCGTTTCGTAGGATCGGGCCAAATGGATACGTGTGTTTTTGTTTAAAGCGAATGGAAGGAAACGCGTTAACACAGAACCGAGCCTCCTCCTTTCGATGAACGTAAGTTTTATATTTTGTTGGATAATTTTGGTGTAATCAACGGTACAGCTACATTCGGTGCACGCTTTCGAACAAGGGACCTAACACGAAGTAAGTCTTTATCCGAATTAAAGCCGAGATATCGAGGCATCTTAACGAATTTTTTAATTTACAATGGAACATTCGAAGTCGGCCATTTTGACTTCGATTATTCTCTAGCGTTAATCCTTTCGTTTTTTATACGCGACCAATTATGTAAACGGACAAAACGACAATGCTAAACGATGACAAATCGATGAATTATTGCCGAGGAATTAATTTCCTTGAATATTTTAGAATAAAACACGAATTATTTATCGAGTTTTAACCACGACGATTGGTTAAAGATTTAAGGCCTTCGAAGACTGTTTTTTCAAACTTTTGATAAATCTAATTGCCAAATAATCGCTCGATAAATAATTTCTTTAACTCGGCACTAATTCATGTTTATAAAATCTTTTCATCGAGGAACAAAATACGAGAAATTTTTCTTCCAACGGCTCGCTCGACTTCGTTCTTCGCGAAGAGAAGCAGCGAGAACAGAGAAGAATCGAGAACGTTCGCTGCTACGTTGATCGATCGAACGCAGATCAAAAGTAGTAGCAAACTCGTACGGTAGACTCTCGTTATATCGCCACTTCCGTTAAACTCCTATAGAATCCACGATATAAAAAGAATTTTTTTACCGTGGATATTAGTGGCGACATAACGAAAGTGTACTCAAATTATTTTGCAAGAGAAAAATTTTTAATATTACAGAAGTGTTGCGTATAAAAAACGAAAGTACTATAATATACATCGAGTCACAGTCAGTTTCCGAGAAATGTTACAACAAAGTTATTAGCAAAATATTGATTACAGACTACGGTCGTTCTGTGCACACCTAATCGCGTCTATGTATGTGTTGCGTGTTACATACGTGAGTGTGCGTGTGTGTGCGCGCGCGTGTCTCGCCAAGCGAAAGAAAGTAACTTTTTTTAATTAATATTAACTCTATATGCTCTGTATATGTCTTGTAAATATATACATACATATATATATATATATAAATATTATATATACACACATACGTATATATATATATTTATGCATTTTTTTTTTGTTTAACATATTCGAAGCAGTAGTTCGAGGAACAGTCAAAATTGTCTACGATTAATAATTCGAACCTCCGATTAATTTAGGGATCGTTGACCTTTGCAACTTTGTTTATTTAAAATTTTGTTCTCATTTTTTTTGTCGTTTTTGTAGGAGTCGTCACAGTTTTAATTTTCAAGTCTCAAAATTCTAACTAAATTGCAAAATTTCTAACTTCGATTTATGTTTCATTTTACAGAATAAATTTTTGTATTTTATGCAGCATATTCTATTTAATCGAGAAAAATAAATTCACTGAAATTTTATTAATTAAATAAATTTGCAGGTTAAAAAAAAAAAGAAAATTGCAAAGTTAACGATCGATATAACTACGATATATATATATGTATACATATATATTTCGTGTACACGGACGTACAGTACTAAAACGCAGAAGTAAAAAAATTGATGTAAAAATAAAAAAAATTCAAGAAACATACCAATTCGGTGTATTAACCCCCTGATGGACGATCGATACAAATTCGCCTCAAGCTGAATAATCATTCTATCTTTGATATATTAATAATAATATTAATAATAATAATAATGATAATAATATATTTGGTGACGTGGAGAGGGTGAAGAAGACGACGAAGATGACGAAGAGAATTGAAATTCCATTACTTCCGGTTGATGCGAATTCGTTACGTCCATAGGAATGCGTTGACGCACATGTTGTTATCTAATTGTTAGTAGATTCAGGTTTATACCGACAATTGTTAATAAAGTTAGTAAGCAAATATATTTTTTATCTTATCTTTTTTTTATTTACCTTCTTCTTGTTCGTTATGATCTACCTTTTGTTTATCTGATTACAACATCTACAATGTCTTTGAAAAGTTGAAACTGCAACATCTTTTTGTTTCATACGTATAGGAATGTTGAGCCTGCAACGTCTACCTGCTTCATGTACATACATCCAGCCTGCAACATCTTCCTGTTTCATACACATAGAAAAGTCAAGCCTGCAACATCTTCCTGTTTCATACACATAGAAAAGTTGAGCCTGCAACATCTACCTGCTTCATGTACATAGAAAAGTCCAGCCTGCAACATCTTCCTGTTTCATACACATAGGAAAGTTGAGCCTGTAACATCTAACTGCTTCATGTACCTAAATAAGTCAAGCCTAACACATCTTTCTTCTTCATATACATAGGACAGTTGAACCTGCAACATCTTCTTGCTTCATGTACAGAGAACAGTTGAGCCTGCAACATCTACCTGCTTCATGTGCATAGAGAAGTCAAGCCTACCACATCTTCCTTCTTCATATACATAAGAAAGTTGAACCTGCAACATCTTCCTGTTTCATACACATAGAAAGGTTGAGCCTTCATCATCTACCTGCTTCATGTATATAGAAAAATCAAGCTTACCACATCTTTCTTCTTCATATACATAGGAAAGTTGAACCTGCAACATCTACCTACTTCATGTACATAAAGAAGACATGCCTACAACATCTTCCTTCTTTATATACATAAGAAAGTTGAACCTGCAACATCTTCCAGTTTCATGTACATAGAAAGGTTGAGCCTTCATCATCTACCTGCTTCATGTATATAGAAAAGTCAAGCTTACCACATCTTTCTTCTTCATATACATAGGAAAGTTGAGGCTACAACATCTACCTGCTTCATGTACATAGAAAAGTCAAGCTTACTACATCTTTTTTCTTCATATACATAGGACAGTTGAAGCTGTAACATCTATCTGCTTCATGTATATTGAAAAGCTAAACCAAGAACATCTTTCTTCTTCATGTACATAGAAAAGTTGAGGCTGCAACATCTACCTGCTTCATGTATACTGAGGAGTTAAACCAAAAACATCTTTCTTCATGTACATAGAAAAGTTGAGGCAGGAACATCTTTCATCTTCATGTGTATAGAAAAGTTGAGGCTGCAACATCTTCCTGTTTCATGTACATATGAAAGATGAACCTGAAACATTTCCCTTGCTCATAAATTGTGTTCATAAAAATGACTTCATACAAGCAGGCAGATTAAAAGAGACTCGTTAAAAAGACCCAAAGATTAAAACAAAAAATGTTCTCATGTTAATAATATCTCTCCATGTCTCATAATTAAAATTAAACTCGAAAATCACGATGCAAGTATCATTGAAACTCGTCGCATTTCAACAATTACGTGCTTCAAGAGCAAAGAAGTACTTCTCGATATTACAAGGCAAGAAGTTAAGTATGTCATTTTGCAAGATAAGAAAAATGAAAAAGTATTCACGGATTCGTTTGATTTGCTCATTCGTGACAGTCCGAGTTAATCAAGAAGAAAGAAAAAGAAGAAGATAAGACCGATGATGGTTACCATGGGAGCAGGGGAGTTGAAGAGCCGAAAATAAGAAGAGAGCAAAGTGGCAGGCTGGCTGGTCCAGTATTGTCACGTGACCGGAAGTGGCCTCTTCCCCACCCTACAACTCCACCTTCGATGCCGAGACCTGTACACGATCTCCCTTTTCCTCTTCTCCCCACAGCCTCATCCGGTTAGCGATGGCCATTCAATTCCCTTTGTGGTGAGTTTTCAACCGATTCAATCTTACACAGACTGTTCTTAATCCCCTTTTTATCGAATCATCAATGACCCCAATTCGATATCTACCCGTATCATTAACAATTACTAATGTCATTAACTACTTCTAATTCTTTTTATCATCGTTGTCGACTTTCATTTTTAACTGGACTCTTTTTACAATGTTCTGAACAGTATTTAAGTATTGCAACCTAATTATTGTTAACACTAAACCTACCAGCATATTTAATTTCAAATTAGAAATGAAGTTAACAAATAAACATAAGTTAGTACACACATTTATTCTTTATCTCAATGAAAATCAATGCAGATTTCAAGGAATATACTTTAACAAAATGTGTATCTTATAATAAGAAACTTGTGGAGTCATTTGACCGGTTTGGTAGTTTCAGTAATTCTTAAAAGACCAAGCAAGATTTGATTCAGACTACATTTACTAGCTTAAGCAACGACAATTTGACACTATTTTATGATGAGTCTTCCTCCAGTATGAATGAGTTATGCTCCTCCAGGTCAAAAATATTTAACAAACTTGAAATTGAAATAAAAGATTCAGTCTCGAACCCATCACTACCTCTGGTTACTTGAAATTAAAATAAAAAATACGTATCATAGATGTACATATACCTATCATAAACCCTGCTAACGAAAAAAATTGTTCAAAAAAAATTGAAAATCCCGTCTCGAACCCATCACTACCTCCGGTTACTTATCCCTTCCTCCTCGAACGAACGCATCAACGAGGGAAGATTGGCCAGCCTTGCTTTTGCCTTGCTTTTGCCTTACCTTGACGACTCGTTCGACTACGTTCAAAGAAATCCAAAGCTACCGGACGCGTCCTTTAACCCTTTTCCCCTTTCAAACTAGTTTCCTTCTCGATACAATGTCGACGCGTCTCTCCAACCCCTCGTCATTTCACCGGTTGGTTTAAATAACACAAAAAATGACATGTCACATTTATCTTATCGTTTTGATAACGATCATTAAGGATCATTTTATCGGTTGTTTTACATCTCGGATCATTTGATCGACAGTCTACGGTAACGAGCTCGGCAAGGGAATAGGCATTGGCGTAACTGGGATTTTTGTTTAGGGTGATTTGGATTTGTTAACTGTAGTAATAGTGTCGATGTGTGTGATTTTTGGAACTTGGGGGATTCGGAAGTTTAGGTTTTTGGAGTGCGAGGATGGGAATTTGGAGATTTGGAAAATTAAGTTCTTGGGGAAATTAGAGTTTTTTGGTTAGCCACTACTCTTTGGTGCTATTACTGCTATTATAATTATAATTATCAAGGGCTTTACTCTTGAATAGTATAGCAAATATAGAAATCTCCCTAACATTCGTACAATTTCCGATGTTCCCAATCTCTTAGGTCTCCAATCTCTTAGGTCCTCAATCTCTTAGGTCTCCAATCTCTTAGGTTCCCAAACTCTTAGGTTCCCAATCTCTTAGGTCTCCAATCTCTTAGGTCCTCAATCTCGTAGGTTCTCAATCTCTTAGGTCCTCAATCTCTTAGGTCTCCAATCTCTTAGGTCTCCAATCTCGTAGGTCCTCAATCTCTTAGGTCTCCAATCTCTTAGGTCTCCAATCTTTCAGGCCTCCAATCTCGTAGGTCCTCAATCTCTTAGGTTCCCAATCTCTTAGGTCTCCAATCTCTTAGGTCCCCAATCTCTCAGGTCCCCAATCTCTTAGGTCCCCAAACTCTTAGGTCCCCAAACTCTCAGGTCCCCAATCTCTCTACATCACTCCACTGTAAAAAGTAAAACTCCATTCTGAAATTATTCTCAAAAATACCGATTTCTCCGATTTCAACGACAATAAAAAATATTTCAATCCTGCAGAATTCGAAGTAAAATAAGATTTCCAACAATTTCCCCCAAAAGATTATTCTCCTCTCTACCCTAAAATCCAGAAGACATCATACTTGTAAGTACTTCGAACGAAGATTCCACCGCAAAATTCGTTGATAAAAAATTGAGATGCAGTATGCAAACATTGACCATAACTTTTTTAGCAGCCTGTATGTAGTGCAACGTCCCGGAAACACAAAAATACCGACTAATAATGTGTACGAGTGAAGAATCGAGATTGATAGGGCGACGTTCGCGGAATGCTCGCGATATTCCGGGAACCGCGTGATATTTCTAGTGTCGTTCTACGAACATCCTTATTGATTGCTCGTGCATGTGGTAGGTGAAACGAGGATGAGGCGTGAAATATATCACTGGTGGTCTTCTCATCGAGCATCGAAATTCGAAATTATCAAATATTTTCAAGGTCTTTGGGGTATTGGGAAGCTTTTCGAATTAGAGAATCATTTTTCTTCGGTTACTGTAGGTAAATGACCAATGACGCATGTGGTGCGTCACTGACTTTATGGTATAGAAAGAAGACACACACGGTGCGTCATCGTTTTATAAGAATAAGACGCATATGGTGCGTCATTGTTTTATAAGAATAAGACGCATATGGTGCGTCATCGACTTCGGTCTTATAGGAATAAGACGCACATGGTGCGTCATCGTTTTTTGTTCTATAGGAACAAGACGCATATAGTGCGTCATCGTTTTTTGTTCTATAGGAACAAGACGCATATGGTGCGTCATCATTTTTTGTTCTATAGGAACAAGACGCATATGGTGCGTCATCGTTTTTGTTCCATAGGAATAAGACGCACATAGTGCGTCAGTTTTCATTCCATAGGAATAAGACACACATAGTGCGTCGTCGTTTTTGTTCTATAAAAATAAGACGCACATGGTGCGTCATCGATTTCATCGGATCAATTTTAGATAAATAAGGGACGTTGTCTATTGCAAGAATAAAATGTGTCTGACATCATCTATCGCAACATCGTAAGACGCACAAAGTGCGTCATCAATTTCCTCCTACAGAAATAAGACGCACGTGATGCGTCATCGATGCAATCGACCCTCATATGATGTTTCATTGAATGAATCCTATAGATAGACAGTATAAGTCTCAGACAGTGCGTCATGAGCAGCACAAACAAAGTAGAAATGCATCGTCGATCGCGAACACTATAAGACGCACCTGGTGCGTCATCGATGCAATCGACACTCGTATGATGTGTCATCGAATGGGTCCTATAGATAGAGAGTACAAGACGCTGATAGTGCGTCATGAATAGCACACATAAGATAGAAATGCATCGTTGATCGTGAACATCATAAGACGCACCTGGTGCGTCATCCATGCAATCGACACTCATATGATGTCTTTTCGATTGGATCCTACAGATAGACAGTATAAGACGCAGACAGTGCGTCATGAACAGCATAAACAAACCAGAAATGCATCGTCGATCGTGAACATTACAGGACGCACCCGGTGCGTCCTCGATGTTTGTACACTAAACACGACGTCGCGTCGAAAATGAAATGGATGCCCGAGGCAGGAAAGGAGAATTTTCAATATTAACGCGATAAACGCGGATAAGCAGAAGGCACGCTTAGCGACGTTAGCGTGATGTTTTCGCGACAGGGCGTGCGAGTGTTCTATATTAAACTCGACGAACGCGGGTAGGCCGATTGCGAAACGGACGCCTGATATTTTCGTTACATCGCACGAGTAACTGCTTCCGGCCGTACGTTCTCTCCTTCTCTCTCTTTCCCCCCGTTCCTTCTCGCCGTCCTTCCTTTCGCATCCTGCTTTTCCACTCGCTCACCCGCTGGCAGACTCTATTTTTCTCGCTTCGCCCGCTCACTCTCCCTTGCTCGCTCTTCTCAAGCCGATATTGCTCTTTCTCTTTCTTACGCTCGACGAGAGACCGAGCAGATGCCCGTGCTTCAGCCGGCCGGAAACACCTACGCATCGTGCTAGCGTGCGAGGTAGCGATGCCTAGCGATGGGGATGAACCTCTCGCAAATCTTACCCTGAACGACCTTCCGCTTTTTCGATACAACTTTGACCTCTGACTTTGTCTCATAACTTCAAATCTTCGGTTCGATTAAAACACTTTACTTTGGAACTTTTTGGTTTTGTACACATTTTGGACGCATTCAAAGTTTCGGACTTTCAAGGTTCTTTGGGATATTCAGATTTTGAGACTTTCGACTTCTTTATTTTTGTGACACTCAGACTTTAGGATGAAGCTTATGCCTATGAAATTTTAAGATTTTTAAATCTTTGAATTTTGAAATTTTTTAATGTTAGGACTTCGAGACTTTGCATCTCTGATACTGTGAAACTTTTTCAATTTTTATTTATATTTATTTTTATATATATTTCATATATTTTTTATATGTATTCAAACCTCAGGACTTTGAAACTTAAAAATTTTTAATCCTTACAACTTTAATATTTTCTAATTTTAAATCCTTGATATCCTGCAATTTTTGACAGCTTAAAATGAAAAATTTTGAATCAGGACTATTTATTATATTATGTTCCAACTGGACTGCAAGACATAAGGACGTTTCTAAGCCTTCATGAAAATTGTTGAATTTTTACTAACAAAAAAAAATGGACATCTAGTTTTGTTCAAAAATATTGATCATTTGTCCTTCATTCTTAAAAGCATCTTAATACATTGAAGTACACAAAAATTAGTAATAATTCAAAACAAAAATTTAGCGCGAGATATTCTACACCTAATAATTTGCAGAGGTATAGAAAAAATGGCGTACCGTTGGGTTCCGAAAGACGGATATCGTTGTTGCGAATGAGACGTTATTGTTAATCGAAGTAAGCCTGCCTTCGTGAAGAATGGAACGCGGGAGATTCGAGGAATGCGAGGTGCGTGTAACAGGCGTGACCTTCCCAAGGTCAGACGGTGTGTAAAGGAACAATGCACACGGGACCTGATTCGTGTTGGTCTACTGCGATACAGTGCAACTGGTAACAACAATTACGGTTCCAACCGAAGGAAACTCGATTGACTAACCCTTCGAACATTCGTATTTTATATTGCAATTCTTGGTTTTAATTGTTCATAATTAATGAACTAACGTGTATTTAAATGTATTAAAATTACACGTAAGAAGGCAGCTGTACTTTTACGGTACTAACAATTATATTTACTCAAGTACCATTTACGTTTAGTGTTCACTTGATTCTAAACTTAACCTAATTTCAAACAGTACGATTATTCATCATTACAATAGAAGTCAATATACCTCTTTATAAAAGCATTTTATGTAATTTAATAAACTGAAAATATTCTGTTTCACTGCTTTAACATACATGTACATTATAAATAAATATTAATTTACCTTAACGTAGTAGCTATTGTAAATTCGTCACTGTGTGCAATATTCGAGTACCGGTAACTGCAGCACGCGATATCGAGTGATTCATCTTTGAACATAGCACGCGTTACCGCGTGAACGGACTCGACAGCTTCAGCTATCAAAAGTATTATGAACTCATCCGGTGTTATGTCAGTGAAGTTCATATAAATTTAACTGTTCCGGTGAGAAATTATATTTACATAGTAATTTGTGTAGTTTAACAGTTATCAATTTTAAAACGAATATGGAAACCCTGTCGCCATCTGTTAACGACGTTGAGAATTAATCTATGATTACGGGTAGGTGACGACATCTGACAGCGAATAGTAGAACTGGGATATTTTTTTTGTTATGCGACAACAAAAGGCAATTGCAACATTGCAAACTTGAAAATAAATTATGAACTTGTACATTAGTACATTATTAAACTAGTAAACTACATTCGTAAATTTGATTTGATCAAGAATTTTTAAATCTCACAAATTTTAAGTTCATAAAAAGAATTAAATTTGGAACTCCTGTGCGCTGCAATGACGTAAAACACATTTCCACTCCACAAATCATGCATACACCGGTCAAAAATATGTGAATAGAGAGAAAAAGTGACAATGTCGCAAGAATACAAAATAAAAAGTCACTAGGTACATGCGCTTCGTTTTACGAATGCTATGAAGACGCATGCGCACTGACATGCGCACAATGAACAAAATCCCGCCAAATAATAGTTAAAACTTTCATTGATAGCATACACGTGGCGTCCTGTCAGTTTTGCTAAATATCGGTTGCCAAAAATGAATACAAGATATAATAATATTTTTATAGCAGAAGATATGCAACAGTAAGAAATAAAATTAGATGAAAATAAAAGTGTACGGTGTCGTCACGTATTAAAACGATAAAGTGCAATGCATGCGTCAGAAACTGTGATGATTTGAATATTATTTTTCTATAGAATATTTTACCGCGTTTTTTATATGATTACTTCAAGGATAATGTTTACACGTCAAACTTTTGTTAATGCTTTAATGTTTGAAACAAGAGATTATACACTATTGCTAGTTGAAGTTTTTGAAAATGGCAAATCCAAATCATTGGACGATTCTTCCCAAAGGGATGACACATGATTTTATTTCGATCGATGGAGATTATGATTTTCCATTTTATATTTCTGAGAAAGAAGAATGGGTCAATTATAAATATCTAGAAAAAAATAAAGGTACATCAACGCGTCTAATGCAGAGGATTTGACGTATTTTAATTTTAATAAATGCTTTTTATACAACATTTAAAAATAAAATGCTATTTAGAAAATAAAATTGCATTATTCTGCTATATAAATATTGTTGTATGTACATCATGGTAAAACATTTTAGGTAAAGTAATAATAAGCGAGCCTTGTTTGATCATGGAATTACACAGACTTGTGCCTTATTTAGAAAATGGTAGTGTAAAATTTCACCCGCTTAATATGCCTTATATTAAAATTGGAAAAATAGAAATAGTAGGATTTGTTCTAAATATATTAGAAGATGAAAAATATTATGAATATCAGGGTAATGCCAACAATGTACATATTGAAGGAAATTTATTTAAAAACTGTAAATATCAAAAACCATGTTATAACAAATAAATTTTTATAGTTGATGATGGAACAGGAATTATTAGTATTTTTTATGACAAAACAAGATTCAACTTAAATAGCAGAAAAAGATGGAACATTGATTACAAGTATAAAAAATATGCGACTAATATAAATATTAAATTACTGGATAAACAGAAATATCCATTAAAGTTTCCTAGTCCACGACCAAATTTTAATTATTCGCCAAGTAGAAGTGAGCATGAAAAAGCTGTAAGTGAAAAAAAATTTTTTCTATATATTTTATATAAAAAGAATGGAACAATTTATTTTTTACAGCTGTTGGAGCATAGATGGTCATTAGAAACAAATAATGGTTTATTGGGTAAGGAGGTAGCCCGTTATGATTATGTATATGCAGTAGGATACTGTACACTTGATTTTTGCTATCAAAAAAAATCACGTAAAGAGATTACATTTGAAGATTTATCCAGTACAAAATTGACTTTCTATGCAACTAAGGTCACTTGCATTAGTGAATTTGAATATAATGCAAAATTACAATCATGGTTGCATACAATTATTCAAAAAAGATACAATGAAACTTTGAACTGTTCACAAATTTCTAAATAATTTAATGTTAAGATGTTGAAAGTTAAGATAATGAAAAAGTACCAAAATTAGTATAGGCTGTACAGGAAGATATAATTTATAAGCGATAAAGTATGATAAGATTAATGTGATATAAGATATGTTATTTAAAATGCTTTTATTTATCATTGAACAATAAAACACTTCATGAATATTTTGTGTATTAAACATCTTTTAGGAAATTTAAAAAATTTCTTTTTAATTGATCAGAGCATTTACACAATATCGAAGCTTTTACAATGCTTTTAAACATTAATGAACGCAATAATTTTCAAATTATTGTACTGTATTGTAATTAGAAGAATTTTATTTTTATTTTGATAGTAAATGCTCTGTTAATAATTACTTTAAATTATAATGTATTTACGCGTGCAAGTAAATTTTAAGTAACCGAACCGTCCGTTTTAACATCGTTAGTACAGACAGCTTTACTGTTACATGTTGCCGCATTAACGTTTTTCTCGTTTGTGATAGATTCCGATTTATTTGAAAGAACAATCAATTTATGATAATAACTTCCAGTTAAGGGCAAATGGGGAGCTATTTCGCTTGGTTCTATAAAAAGTGATGGTGGAGCCTAAAAAAAGTGACATAATACCGTTTATACATATAAAAAAAAGAAATAAAAATATTTGTATTATTACACTTTCAATTGCATTATAATATAAGTATAGGTACAATTACTTACTTTTATATCTTCAACTTTAGCTTCTCGTGTTGTGTATTCCCTCAATAAGTAATTATGTCCAAATTCATGATAAATACGGGTATCATTTATTCTCAACATTACACCATCAATTCTCAAAAAATATCTTAATAAAATGAAAAAACTAGTAGGCATCACACGCTGTTTAAATTAATACATGAAATTAGAATAAGTTATTCCTGTCAGTCAAAATGTAAAATGAATTCACTAACTTACAATTTTTACAGAACAAACTGCAATACCATTATCGTGAAGTTCATCTTCAAACAATGTTAAATCATGATAAAACAAAATTTTATCTCTTCTTCTTAACTTATCCATATCAATTCTTTCACTAGTTTCTTGGATTTCAAAACTAGATATTGTTCCACTGTACGTAGTTGTAAATGTCCAATCAAATGGTTTTATCTTCTCTTCTAAGTATTCACTGCTTTCTGCTCTGTTTAAAACAGTATATACTTGAACATAAATTAGTTATCATATAATTTTATTCAAATATATGTACCTAGATTCTTTCCACGCTTCAGCACATGCTAATTGGACATTAATTTTTCCATTGGACACAGTTTTCAATGCATCTAAAGCATTGAATTCTAAGGTAGCACCATCCTTATGTTTTAATGTCAACACATTATTTGGAAATACCATGTCTGGCATGTGGGGCAGTTCTAAAGTACGACTATACCTATCAAATCAATTATACAATAAAATTCTATTCAAACCTCATTATGCTAAGAAAATTAATTTATCATACATGCAAAATTGACAAACATCCGCATCTGTATCATTACAACCATTTTCTCTTTTTGAACACTTAGAATGAAGTATATGTGACTGAGTATATTTAATGAGCCATGGAGGAAATACGTGTTCCTCTTGATTTACTGGAAGTCTTAAGATATCAATTTCACCATGAACTTTCACTGCTGTCATGACCTATAATATAAGACAATGATTAAATGGATTAAAGAAATATCAACATTTCAATCATAAAACTTATTGTTTAAAAAATGTTAATAGTAAACATACAAGCCTAAATGTTCTGATTAAACATTGTAAATACTGACACAAAGAAAGCAAAACTTTTATGTATATTATATGTTAATTATAGATTATTACTTATTTGAATACAAATTCTGATGTCAATATTAAATGTTTTTGCACAAATTTAACCATTATTGATAAGATCTTATAACCTGTCACCTTAGTGACAAAATATACTTACTGATTAAATTTAATGTTTGAACTAATTTCCAATAAACATTTTACATGTGAGACTAATTTTTGAATAATTGATATAATTTCTATCTAAATTTTATCTCTTTTTTGAGTATTACAACTTTCGCTCGACCATAACAATAGTCATTTCTCTCCGAAACTGCATTATCGACAGTGCTTTGCATGAACGAATCTTGTAGTACTTCCCAAAGTTATGCGCCCTTCACAGTTGCGCACTTTTAAAAAGTGGCGCCACATTTTGGAGCATGTAATTACCACTATTACAATAAATATTGGTCATACTTTAATATTAATCAGTCACTGCGATAAATTACTACTGCTATTATTATATCTCATTATTTTATTGAGTAGAGCGAATACAAACAAAACATGTCGCACCGCGATTTCTTTAATGGAAATTAATAAAAAGGAAAAGGATGTTCTGATATTCTGAAGAAAAGGATGATATTTTTCGAATTTAATAATGCGAAAAAATTAACGAAACTATACCGATGAAGCTCTGAAAGCGACTGACAAAATTGAATTCCGGTCGGGGGAGTTTTAAGACTTCATTTCCTTCGCTCTTCCATACGGAAATAACCAGAGCGATTGTGGAGGATTCGAGTGGATCCGAGATCAGTTCTGCTCGGGTGTCGGAAGCAGTTACGTGTTCCGAGAAACCTGTATATAAAAAATGACGGGTAAAAAGTCAAATTTATCCGTGGAGTTTGCTCAAGGAAATAACAGTGTCAACGAAGTCACGGACAAAGAACGACTTTCTCGCGGGGAGTATATACAAAAAATGAAATCAATCGCCGGTCACGTTGGACTTTTGATCACCCTTATGCTTTACACGGCGATCGGAGGTTTAGTAAGTCACACCAATTTTAATTTAATTCTTACGAGTCGCTAACTAAATTGCTTTCGAGTAGAATACTTCGTTCTTTTTACGAATTGTACAACAAAGATTTATCTCGTAAACGATGTATTAATTTGCGAATATATTTTAGCTAACGTTATTATTTGTTCGAAACTATCGAATACCATAACGAACGTCAAGACTTTTGGCTATTTACTTACACGAGTTTACGCGGAATACAATATTTATAGAGATAACAACGCCAGTCTGGATTTCCAATTGGTATCTTTATTTTTAGCAATGGACCAATCGTACGACTTGATGCGATTACTACTAACCTTTATGTTGAATTTCTTACGATTCCATGTTTATTCCATAATTTTCAACTTTTCTGAAGACGCACATATTCTATGCTTCTATCCCTAGATCTTCATATTCCTATACCTATTGACCTCTATATGTTTATATTCCTAGATCAATCTCCAGACATCTCAAGATACCCCTAGACATATCTAACAATCCTCAGATATTTCTGGATATGACCAGTTAACCACAGATAACCCTAGATATTTCAATATATCCCTAATACGTAGGTACCCATAGATATTTTTCAATATATCTAAATATTCGTATTTATATATCACAATACTTTAAAAAATTGTCACGTTAGACATAAAATAAAAATACTATAAATATTTTACAATATCACAATTCTAAAATTTACTGATTACACATGAAAATGATTGACGAGGTTATAAAAGTGTAAACTAAACACGAGTGTGGAGTAAAGCGATATTAAACCAACCACTTGAGATTCGAGAGATTCATAAACACAAGGATCGACAAAACGTAGTCATACATTGTTTTAATATCTCCAAGCGATAAAACGTCTAAAAATATTACATCACGTTTTAAAGAATTTTCACTTTTAATTTTGTCGAACAGGTTTTTCGGCACATCGAACTTCCGGCGGAGTTAGCGCGGTTAGAAAATTTGCGCGCCAATTTGCGCGTCCATAGATACTCGTTCGTCAACTCGATTTCTAACAACACCGATGTGTCGAACTTGCGAACATTGGTGAGTCGATATTTCTTATCTCGTCAGTAGACATCATTCGTGTCTTCCTTAATTATAAACGTTCGAACTGTTACACGAGGATGTTAACAGGTTAACGTAAAGTTACGTGCTTACGAAGAGGCCGTCCAGGAAGCAGCACAAGGTGGATTGTTGATCAATTTTGTGACAGATACGTTCGATCAAGAAGATCGAGATACAAGTGTATTACCGCCGATTGTCACCGAAAGATGGAGCGTTTTTCAAGCTATCTTTTTTGCAAGCACTGTCGTTACTACAATCGGTAATGAATAATATGTGATATAATGTGGCTCATTAAAATAGACTGAAATATCTTCGAAAATATTCATGATACGAATAAATATTTTAGACAAGGATGTTACATCATGTTAAAATTACAGTCTGAAAGTAATTCTGCAATTATAGTAACAAGTATTCAGATCATATTTACAAAATTCGAAGCGAATCGGATAATATTTGGGTGCATTTAGAGTAAGCAAACAAGAATGTAGAGTAGAGTGAGCGTAAGAGCAAGAGCATTCGTTCGTGCTCGTTCGGTATAGACGAACATTGCCGAACAGTAGAAGAATAATTACTTAGTGATTATTTTATAATTTTTGTAGAGTGACGGGCGTTTATTCTAAGCACAGCCGAATATTAAATAGTTAATAACAAAATAAAACGATGAAAGTTAATTTAAAGAGTAATGAGTATACTAGTATTTATATGCTTCACTTATTTTTTAGGATACGGAAATGTTGTACCTTCGACCAGTTGGGGAAGGTTATTCTGCATTTTGTTTGCTTTCGTCGGAATACCATTGACATTAATAGTTATAGCCGACTTAGGTAAACTATTCGCCGCGGCTGTCGTCAAAATCGGTCTGGCAGTGAAATCAAAACTTCCGTTTTGCTTTTCAATTCCCTGTGTACCGGCAAATTCAACCGGAAGGAAATCACTCGGTAAATTTGACCAGTCAGTTGAAATAACGAAACAGTGAAATACCAAACGATTACTAATTTTACACCCAAGTTTTGCGTATAGTTGTGCATGTATACCAAAACTGTGCTTGTGATTCGCATGAATGGCATCGAAAATATTTATATTAACGGGCACGAACGGATTTTCATTCAACGTTTATTCTCTACTTTTTTCAGGAGCCTTGGCAGCGGTTCTACTTTTGTTCTTATACCTTGCATGTGGCGCAGGTATGTTTATGTTATGGGAAGACGAGTGGAACTTCTTTGATGGCTTTTATTTTTGTTTCGTGACCATGACTACTATAGGATTCGGTGACTTGGTGCCGAGTAAGTTGCGTGATATGTATTATGCATTTTTACGATCAGGTTTCTTAGGAATCAAACGTAATCGCTGTTGTAGTTGTTTTTAGTACACGTGTAGGATCTTGTGAACCAGTGATGGGCAACCATACATGATCCTTAGTATTTTAATTTTAATATTTAAATTTAATTTTAAATTTTTTAATTTTTTAACTATTTAAATTTCCAAATGACTTTCGCATTACCTAATTATCAAATTTAAAAATTATAAAAATGTCTACATTGTTGATCTTCTCAATTATTACATTTCTACCTCTGCAAGTTTGAAATTTTGCAATTTTGGATTTCTCCACGCGTCGTGTACGCCAATGCCCATGAATTGCTCGGCGGTCACTCGATCTGTCCATCACTGTGTAGACAATAGTAATACGAGTATGTATATTCGCGTAGTGCGTGTTTATACATTCATTATAGCTACGCTTCGTGTCACCGCTCGTACGCAGAAAAGCCGAAGTACACGTTACTCTGCACGCTATACATTCTGGTTGGATTGGCGTTAACGAGTACCATTATTGAACTGCTGAGACGACAATATGCTCAATCGTGGAGAAGACTACAAAGGCTTAGCGGCCCATTGGCGGAAACTTTACGAAAACTCGGGGAACAGGCTGGAGGTGACATGTCCGCTCTTCACTCGGATCTCAGGTCATTGTCAAGAAACTGGCTTCTTGATATACATCAGCTTAATATATTATATTGAATCAAATATAAATAAATATATATTATATATTTATAATAAATGTTGCAATAATTGCAATGTTAATTGTAGGAAAGTATTGACGGTGATATCGATGCCACGTTTAAAATGGTCGGCCTCGTTCAGTCGAGGAGACTTGAAGGACCAAGAATGGGAAGAGGCGGTAGAAGCTGTGCTTCGAGACATCGCTGCGACTACAAACAACTCGCAAACGAAGAAAAAACCGATAGTCCAAATAGTCATTTACGAATCGAGCGTATGACCGGAAACTTGAAAAAATTGTATAAATATTTTATGTCTTATACATTTCTGTATCAGACTCAAGTCCACTTTTGTTATTTTTTAAAAAAGCAGAAGCTCTTACACGTTACATAGAAACAGAAACAGAAAAGCATGGACTTTCAGGTACAGATTTGTATTCGTATTTTCAGACAAGTATATGTCTGCTCTATATACACAATTTTAAACAAACGTTTAACAACGTTAAACAAACGTTGCATAATACTTTTTATACATTTGTTTTCGTGCTTTCGAGAAAAGTAGTTTTGAAATAAGTATTTATTCGCAGAATGTAGATTCCTTTCGCATGGAAGAATTTATTTGAGCTAAATTTGATTGTGAGCGATGCACGAGGGTTAAAAATGTTGACAATTGTTTATACTACCCGCGTAATCTGCGCGCGCAAATTGATAGAACCGCGAAGGCGCAGAAGGTAACAATTCTGAGTTCGATCAGTAGTCCTAATGTTGGACCGACCGGATCGACAAAAACAATAATTTGTCAAGAAGCAGTTACTATATTTAGAATTGGTGGTACCGCGCGAAGCAGAACAGACAAGGTTGTTCTGCGTTCGTCGTCGGCTTTTGCATAGTGACGACTGCGACAGTGGTACAGTAGTAATCAAGATTCGATGGTCCAGATCATGCAAAACAGAACCGAGAGGCCATCGGCTATCGTGTGCATTGCGTACCGTGTGCGTATTTAAATCAAACTCTGTTCTCGTATCGGACAGAGACAGTCGCAGTTGTGTTTGCACTTGACAGTTTCGTGTTAGACAAATTTTAACTATACATACGCACAGATATATGTGTGTATACATATTTATGAAATATACCAAATGATTGATTAAAAGAAAAATAAATATTATGTCATAAACGAATCGTTCATCAAAATAATGTTTTTTTTTTTAACAGTTCGTTATTGATCTGCATTAACCTTTTTAGAACTGCTTCAAAATAACGTAAATGTGTAAATTTTTATTATCAAAACTGTATCTTTAAATGGAAATTATTGTTTTGCTTCATATTTTTGACGTACTCGAGACGAGGACTTAACAAATACCGAACGTGTTGCTAGCCCTTTGTATTACGTCACGCCGTTCACGTGCGTGGGTATATAGCGTTTTGCGCGGCATTTTTGAAGTTGTTAAGGGTTGCATCAAATAAGAGCGTTATTGTGCAGTCTCGCTATATGGTATTGATAATTTAAGTTTCTAAATTTTTCAAATAGGAATTAAAGATGTTCCAATTTAGAGATTCAAATGTTTTCAAATTTAGATAGTCTAAATTAAAAAATTTTCAAATACAGCAATTTAGAACTTTCAAAATTACAAATTTTTAACACTGCAAAATTTAGAAGTTTGTAATTTTAAAATTTCTAAATCTCCATGTACGCTAGAATAATGGCGGATCTCCACCAGTGTACTTGAAAGTCCCAGTGAAAAGGAAACTCGCTCTACGAGCCCTATAAAATGGAGTCGTAAAGCGAAACTACACTCTACATGAAAAGTAAAAATAATGTTTTTTTTCGATGCGATTTTGGCGCGAATATTTATCACTGTTTAAAGTAATTGCTCGAAACTAATTTGAGACTGCAAGTAGATGGTAACTGAATTTTTCTTATTTAGCAAATGAGTACTATGACCGGTATTAAAGATCCTACCGAGCCACCGAAAGTGGAAGAAGTCAAACCAGAGATCAAGCAAACCAATGTGATTGTTAAAAAGAGTTTCGCTGATTTTATTGATTTCACTATGAAAAATTTTCTTCAGTTCTCCAACGAAATGATGGAGTCTTTCAGGTGATCGCATAATCGATTTTAATTCGTTTAATAAAATAGAACATGTAATAATATTTTTAAATATTATTTATTTCTCAGGTTGATGTTAGATAATTTTAAAGCTCGGATCGAATAATTTCAAGAACAGAACCAATATATATTTATTTTCACTGTCTACGTAAATGGACTGAACGCGGGCAATAAGATAGACAGAATTATCAACGTTTTGTTTCATAGATTTGTTTCTCAACATATTGTGATTGAAAACCATGTAATATTTAAATTTACACACACATCGTAAAATAAAAATTATTGTGAATGTTTAAGATCATAAAGTTACTTTAATAATAAATTTTAAAAATTCAAGAAAATAACTGATTTTTATTTCTCTTAGAAACCTTGTGCAGTTATAAATATTTTAAAATTAATATTTATTAAATATTAATCTTTTTTACATATTTAAAAAATATTAATCTATTAATATTTATTAGATATGAAAGGTAAGTGACATACGTATTTAAATTTTGAATACAATCGATATAAAATGTAGCGGTTTTTTTAACGTCATATAACGCTTGAATTTGACTTCAGTAGTAGGGTTATAGAACCGCGTGAACATTGTTACGTAGCGATTGCGCCATTCTTATTTTGTAATTCTGAATTAAGAGCGAGATTCAAACCGGCTAAGCATATACATAATTTTCGTATCGGACATTCACTATTTAAAATATTAAAAAATTATCTTGAAGACAAACTGTTTTATACATCGCGCCACGAGCAGAGTAATCTGGCGCTCTACAGGAACCTACCTACGCCTCTTAAAATCTCTCACATGCAACATCGATATATCGAATTCGTGCGCCATATTAGTTTGCCGCCAATGTAATGCGTCGCAATGAATTTGTTGCGCGTCTTAACCGTCGAAGCAGTTGAACTTTTTTGAAACGTGTAGTTCTTGGATACAGTTTATAGTACATTTTCTGGGTACATCTGCATTTGTTCAGTAATTTTTGTTATCAATATGCCAAGACAGTGTTGTTTTCTTTGTGCTACCGATGAAGGAGTTTTTTTAGATATAACAACGGAAAACAAACAACTGTATCGAAAACAATTCGAAACTTGTTCACTTGTTAAGGTACTTGGCTACATTATTTCAATATGTTTATAAATCATATAACTTCTGACGTTTTTTGATGCTTATAGAACTTAATTAAATTATATGCACCTCAATATGTTCTATGGTCACGGACTGATGAAAATATAAACAAGCATGAATTTAATTTTACATTTTTGAGGTTGTAGTTAACAATAAAAGTAAACATTCGTTAGTATTTTTAGTAATAGCTTGCCCATTGCACTTTACATTAGCAGATAATATAAACAGTTATTGTTTAATTCATTATTTCGTACAGGTTAACTGGGAACATTTTTAGAACTCAGAGTTTAATTTTAGTAAAAGTCCAAATAGTTTCATCTTATGCTTACCTTTTAGAAATGATGTTTTCTTGTAAATCGTAATATTTATGGTTCTTTTATGCTAGATTTTGAGGTTCTGTTAATTACAAATAGTTATGAGTTAAATATGTACCCACAAATTTGAGTCAGGTCCAAAAATTTTACTTTAGGTATTTGAATACTGCTCGTAAGAGGACAATGTTTGATTAAATGTGATTGTGATGTACTTGGATTATATAATGTAGTTTTGAATCTTAGAATGATATTAGCAGGATTAATATACTTTAGGCTCCAAAAAAATCAAACTTCGTCAAAGTAGTATTTGGCTCTTGAGTCCTGTAATTTACTTCAATTCAACATTGTAAATAGATATTGTTATATCACATGTACAGGAAATTAAAAATAATAAAGTACTTATAAGATGTTCAGATATATTGAATTAGAGCTTGATTATACTTGGAAGTATTTCTTAAGTTACAAATGGTATTCAAAGTCCAAATATATGAGCGACTAGTGATTTTCTTTCTGTTATGTACTTACCAGTTTGTTCAAAACTATCTTTGAACTTACTTGTAATACTTCTTACTAATTATTTAACATCTATACAGGTACCAACATCAGATCAACTTCCGACCAAACTTTGTCACAAATGTGTGTATGAACTAAATCAATGCAGTAATTTTATAGAAAGAGTTAAACGTACCACAAGAGCTAAGTCAAGAAATCAGAAACCATGCTGCACTTTATGCCACTACTCTTCAAGAAGCGAATTAATTTTTGATTTTAATAAAGACCACAGTTTACATAATAATTCATTTGACAGAGTCCAAACAATTTTTAATTATGATGTAAGAAATATTTGATATACTACTATAAATTTTAGTCATTTCCTTATTTCCAATATTTTATCAAAATTAACATTATAATGTTTCACAGCTTAAAAGTTTCAAAGCAGCCTACAAATATATATGTTTGTCTTGCCGATATACATTAGATGTATTGCTCGATTTAAAGAATGTATCTAAAGAAATTTCTACCAAGATAAATGATATAATCAATGAAAAGATTGATTATGTAAATATGCCCAAGGTAAGGTTTTATTAAATATTGTATTAAATTATGCGTAGAGTTTATTTTCTATACTATTTGTATCATTATAGATAAAAACCAATGTAGTAAGTCGTAAAACTACAACTACTGAATCTGCTAGAACAAACTTGTCCGCAGAAAAACCTGCCTTAGAAAAATCTGATAATGAATCTACCAAAGTAATGCGTACACGGGCACGAAATAATAAATTAAATAATAATCAATCAAACGAAAAATTACAATCGCGAGTTTGCGATGAATGCCATAGTTCTGTTAAAGCTGGGGATAATCTGTACAAAGTTCATAAAACGAGGAACAATATTTGCAAGAAGTGTTGGGTGAGAAGGGGTCTCGATAAAGATGAAACCGAAAATCAAATACAGCAAAATGGTACAGAAACTAAGGTTTGTAAAGTATTTTTGAAAGATGTATTGAAAGAGACAGAACTAAAAGAACAAAAGCGGAAAACTGTTAACAAGAGACACGTAACGGTGAAGAGCATAGAAAATGAAAGTAAGTCTAGCAAGGTAGTTGACACCAGAGGCAGTGAAAGTAAGCAAGGTCAAAAGCGTTCTATTTCGACCGTGGAAGATGAAGAGAAATCGGCGAAAGACGAAGTTCCACAGACTAAAAAATCTAGGGCTAACGTACAATTGGATCACGATGATTCCAAGAAATCCGAGGAGTCAATACAAAAAGAGCCAGAAACAAAAAGAGTCAGATCTAGCACTCGCATCGTTCGTCAAAATTCTGAGTCAGATTCCTCTCTGGTGAAGAGAAGAAGCGAAAGAAGTTTAACCAAACAAAAGCAAGCAGCAGGCGCATCGTTATCTGACGCGGACGTTGACACTAAACGTAATCGCAAAAAGTTGAGAAGTATTTTAGAAGGTAACGCTGTGATAAAGAATCTAGATTTAACCGATGAATCTTCTTCGAACGAGGACTCCGCAAAGAGGAAACGAAGGCACACAAGCACCTCTCCTGACCCGCCCAGCAAGAGAAGTAAAACAGTTTCTATTAGAGAATCAAAATCTCCTGTTACTAAATCAAAAACATCGCAAGAATCGCAGTCTTCTGAATCCGACACCAACGATGTACTGTTCCACACTAGAACATATGTTTGCGACGAATGCGGAGCTAGTTATGAAAATAAACTACTAGGTTTGACGCACAAATTGACACATTACAGTCGTCCGAAATTGAAATTAGAAAAGATGAAGGAAGATGCTATAAAGAAAGACACAAGTACAAAAACGGATGAGCCACCTAAAGATCAGTCTGAGATAGCAATAAGTGTAGATGACGACGAGGAAGAATCAGCGAACGATGCAGATAACGCGGTTGAAAGCACGGAAGATAAAGCACAAGATTCTAAAAAGGATGCGGTGGAAGATGCCATTGATATGGAACTAGTTATGAAAGAATCTGATGATGACGTCACCGAAAAGAAAGCAGAGGAATCGCAGAGAGAAGAAGAAGAAGTAGACACAGCAGTGCCAGACTCGCCAAAAGAGAAGGAAACTGAAACTAAGAAACAAAAAAGAAGTAGTTACGATAACAACAATAAGAGTAACAACAACGACGAATCGGAGGAGAAAGAAAGCCCAGATTCAAAAGGGAAGAAGAAGACCTCTCTCAGTAGTGTTGAAGAAACAAAAGAAAAAGAAGATAAACAAAATGCCTTACTTAGTGATAATGAAGATGTAGCAGAAGAAAAAGAAAATGTGGAAGAAGAGCAAAAGCCAGAGGAAAGTAACGTAGTCAACAATAAAGACGACGAAAAAGAAGATGAAGATGCGGGCGATAAAACTACAAGAACGGAAAGGAAAGACAGTAGCGAAGAAGAACCAATATCTTTAGGAATATGGGAACCAGAGGCCGAAGTCACTGAAAGTATAAATGAATCAGAATCACCGAAGAGTTCTAAAAATGAGGTTACAAAGGACAAACTAGAGTCTTCTAAAACTGAGAAAGCAGAATCTTCTAAAGATGATAAAGAGGAAGAAGAGAAAGAAGCCGAAGAGACTGTCATAGACGTGGAGAGCAGCGGACAAGAATCCTCTGAATGTGTGGAGATAAAAGAGTCCGGTGACGACGATATAGAACAAATAGGGAAATTAAAAAAGACTATAACTAAATCTATTATTTCAGAAGAAATAATAGTAACAAAAGAAAGTATCACGATCGAGGAAGACGACATCGAAATCGAGAGCGAAAGCATCTCAAACACAACAGTCACAAAAGCAGAAGAATCGACCGATTGCGCTGACGCCGCAGCAGAGGTTCTACGCGAGGTCATCGACTTAGCGAGCGCCGAAGTTCAGAAACGACAAGAGGTTACCGAGTTAGACAGCGAAGAGGATTCTAACGAGGTAGAAACATTAGAAAACATATCGCGTGAAATACAGAACAGTGTCGAAGTACCGCCTCTCGATTAAAATTGAAGTGGAAGCAGTATATACGTTTGAAAGAATATTCGTCAACACATCTATCACCATTTTTCTATAAAAATTGTGTACAAGTTATGTAGATGTACAATTACAGATGCGAAAGATAAGGGTATAAATGTTTCAAGTATTCAGCGAGGTGTAGCGAAATCTCGCTATATGGCCCTGGGAAAAACAGTGAAAGCGATGAGATGGTATAGGGATACTATCGCAATTGATAATTTGCAAATTTACTTTTAATTTTTCAAATTCGAAAATTTGGAAATTTATGTGGAAGGAAACTTTCAGCGGGCAATATACAAGGATGCCATAGAGCGAAATCACGTTATGTGAGAATAGAATTTTATGAATCTATCCGTTTAATTAGACAAACATTTAGTTTGTTTTCAAAATTGCAAATCGTAATTATAATCGTGTTCGTATCTGTTTTCTTGTAAACTTCTGATTCTAGATGAATCTTGAATTCGCTCGTCGTAGTGATGGCTTCTGACGCGCTGTTTATGTTCCAACATTATGTTCGTTTCAACTCTGACCTCTAAACGGGTAGATTCGTATCACGTTTCCTACAGTAGCTGTATTTTATTTTACTAAAAAAATAGGGGAGATATAGGAAAAATTCATCATACAGTATTCTTGATTGTACGGCAAAACATCACACGAATTACTCAAATTTTTACTTTGATTAATTTTCAATAATTAGATCTTTGATGAATTTTCTACCGTTCACGACATTGTTCATAGCATTGCACATAGTTCACAGAAAAGTGACAGAATAAATAAATCTCAGCAGTAATGAATTTGCTTTGCTTTCTTAAATTAACTGTAATTAGCCCTAACTTTTAAATATGAAAATTTCTAAAATTTTGTATTTATTCACTGCAAAATATGTACAAATTATTTTCCAGTGCAATTTCTCAGAGGATATTAGTGCTGAGACTAGAGGAACTAGGAACAGCTGTTTAGTTTTATACAAATGCTTTTAAGCAGAATAGTTGCCATTGCTGTACTTTGTTACATATTTCAAATTACGTTTGTTAATCATAATTACTTTCACGTATCATAGCGATTTTATTAGTACAATTAACTTTTAGTACACCACATTTTTGTTACCTATTCCCTTCAAGTTATTCTATTTTCTTTTTAATTTAGTTCTCATACTGATATTATATTTTATAGATTTTGCTTGGTTTTAGCTTGATTTTAAGGAAGAGATTTACCTATGTATTATACAAAACAGTATCACCGTGTTGATATATGAAAGTCGACGGGATGTGATGGGCAAATTTTTAGAAGTTCATGGGCATAGTTTCTCAATTTAAAGTTTGAAAGTTTCCATCCATCACCATTCAAAATGGCGGAGTGTTCAAGATGTGAGTTCTATTATCAAAAATATAATTAAGTATTCATTTTTATTCCACCGTCCATAAGGACACACATGATTTGCTCATCACGATGTAGTGTCGTTAACAGCTGTTTCTTATATTTATACTTTTTCTTTTAACCACATAACACTTTAGAGGCCGTCACATCTTAATCTACATTTATTTTTAATTCACAAATTCTTCAAATATAATTTTATCGTTAGACATAAAGTTGAATTTGCAAGAGTGAAGAAATGTGGCCCTCAAAGTGTTATTAAAGTTGATTTGTGTTCAAGTCGTACGTTCGAAGAAAGTGTGGTGTTGCGAAGATGAGAAACGTTTCTGTGTACAGCTGTCGAGTTGCAGAAATGAAATTATTGTAGAAAATTGTACGAAACGCAGTTATTTGCGAGTTAAGGCCATGACATTTCTCGACCAGCGTCGTTTCTTGATAATATGGATGAAATGGTATCCAGCGAATGTTCGTGCGAGATATCCAATTCTGATTTATCGTCTGAAATATAAAATGGTGGGTGTAAGTATAGAATATTTTTTGAGGTTTAAGGGAATCAGTATACTATGGAACCAAGGAAATGTTTGGTTCACAAATTGAAAGAACAAAAAAAAAAATTTATAAAAATATAAATAAGATTTAGTAATACGTTAATAGTTAAGCATTAGTATTTTATTGTTTATTAAAAGACATTATTGATTTGACAAGATTTTAACGTTTTAAAAAAGATATACATTTAGCACAAGAAACAGTGGCCATATTAATGTAATGGTCGATATATTAAGGATCGAGGTTAAGGAATAACTTGTGTAAAATAATTATATATATATACATACATATACATACGTATATATATAAATTTAAAAATAAACTTTGTATATATAATTGTACCGACGATTAAGAAACAGATTGAGATTTATTGTTACCTTGTATTTTCTCGGTCCAAAAGTTTTCCCTGCAACTTTTCCATCGACAGATTTTCAAGGTCGCCTCTTCATCGTACTCACCGCATTGTAATAACAAATTGTAATATTTCTTGATTCTCTCTTGCCCTGTCGACAGATCTTATTCTTACATTTTTATTCTAATGTATCGGCTCATGGAAGAACTAAAGTATGTAATTTCTACGTCTACGCGTATTTTTAATGTTTGTTTTCACGTCTTGCAGTCACGCCTGTTGCACATTGTTAGATTGTAAAATGGAACATAGTAATAAACTAGTAATTGTGTATTTCTAAAGGTGCATTTTATTTGATCTGCAGAAAATTGTCCTTTCAAATGTTTCTAATGTTTCAAACTTTAATATTTGAACATTTCAAGTTTATAACTTGAAGTCTCTTTGAAGTTGCTAACTAAGAAATTGTATCTAATTGTGTATATCTAAAGGTGCATTTTATTTGATCTGCAGAAAATTGTCCTTTCAAATATTTCAAATTTTTCAAACTTCAATATTTGAACATTTCAAGTTTGTAAGTTGAAATCTCTTTGAAGTTGCTAACTGAGAAATTGTATCTAATTGTGTATTTCTAAATATGCATTTTATTTGATCTGCAGAAAATTGTCCTTTCAAATGCTTTAAATGTTTCTAACTTTAATATTTGAACATTTCAAGTTTGTAAGTTGAAATCTCTTTGAAGTGGCAAACTGAGAAATTGTAACCAGATAGTGTTAAGTGAAGACGTTAAGTCCATTGTTACAATTCAAGACAAGTGACGTTATTAGAGACCTTGAGAAACTCCTGCGATGCATCTAGCGAGATCAGCCTCTTGAGAAGAACCAAGTTCATTGTACATGCACAAAGCACTCTCCAAATGGGCAGTGGATAAACTCATCTGTCCCTGTGTTACCATTAATTGTTATTACTAGTCACAATCTCACTATTCAATTTTATGCAAAGTCTCACCCTAAAATAATAACACTTCATTCATTCATTCATTCATTAATGAAGTTATTATATTACCTGACTCAAGTAATGTTCTCCGGTGTAGTAATGCGCATCAGCTAGTTTGTCTTTGTATCCAAATTTCTCAGCGTTTTCTCGGTACAGACGCAAGTGTTTCTCGGTATGAACATGGTCGTCTAATTCCTACAAATATACGTGTACTTACTACACGTATAAAAAATAAATACGTGTAAAAAAAATGTATTACTTTGTACGTAAATGCTAGTTCCATGTGTCCGTTACAAATTCCCTCCGCATCTGGGATCCTCTTCGCGATGGCCAAAAATTTGGAGAAACTCTGCAGAGCTCGTTTCACGTCGTTCTTCGCGAAGTAACTCTTTCCGAGTTCGTAAAGAGCTTCAGTGATGTATTCGTTGTTACCGGCTATAAGTACAGATTTTGTATTAATACAATTATTCGTTGTTACCAGCTATTACAGATTAGTATTAGTACAGATTTTGTATTAATACAATTATGTAAAATATTAGGTAATACAATTATGTGGAATATTAACTAAAGAAAGAGATTTCCATCTTTAATTCTATTGACGTGACGTCGTGATACAACGTAAGAAGTAAAGTTTAATTTTTATATTAATTAATTTCTACATACTCCTTTAATTTCTTCTGGAATGTTTTCTTTAGTTTTACTTTTTGTGCATTATATTATGTTTTTAGAACGCTAGTAATTAAGTTCATCGTCGATTACGACAGACGCGGAAGAGGAAGTCTTCTTATCAAGAAAAGTTTCTGTGCCTCTGCACAGAAAAGAGTTTTACCATCCGTGGCTCTCTCCAATGCTTCAATACAAGCATTCAAAGCGAAATCAGGATCCTTCGAACGTTCAGCTCGAGCGAGAGTCAGCAACGCTTTATACAAAAGGACATTGCATTCGATGAAGATAGAACGTTGCTTTTCGCACAACTGTTTCGAGGCATTCCATACTTTGTTCTCCGACGCCTCGCGTGCCTTCTTCACGTACTCTAAAGCTTCCCTCGGATTCTTCACTGTTAAATTCAAGATTTGATGCACATTTTAATTGGATTGCAATTATGGATTCAGTAAGAATTGTTATTACTAACGTTCGTGAAAAAGGAAACGACCGTACAAGTAACGTATCAGAGTTATCGTTCGCAGATTGTCGTTTCCGATGGCTTCTGCGGCTGTGAGGGCTGCTTGGTAGAGGCGCTCGGTCACCCACCACCATTCCCAGCCTTTCGATTGGAAAAATAGAGCGACGTCGAGAAGGGAGATGGCTCGTGCAATGTAATCACCTGAAGAAGTTTATCAATTAATTTATATATTGGTTAACATAGAGTATTTGAAACTAGTTAGAAATAAAAGATGGTGTCAGAGTCGACGTTAACTCCTTGCTGTATTTCGACGAGTCTCACTCGTGACGCACTTCGAACTCAAACGTGACAAATCTTCCTCAAATTTTAAATACTCTTCAACATAAAATTTAGGTCCAACTATAATTTGCATAATTAAGGATCGCTGAATATAAAATGCTTAAAACATTTTAATTTTCTTTAACATTATAGCTAAGAATAGTAGTTTCGACTGATGTATCTGATAAATAAATTGTACAGCAAAGGGTTAAAAGGCGTTACTCGTGGTTAGGTTAGGTTGTTGTCACGATGTTTAGCATTAGTATTTCTTATAATATTAATATACAAACGCACACTTGTATTATTGTAACATATTCTTCCTAACGCGAGAGATATGCAAAAGGATTGCTTAGAAATTTTTTTAAATTCTCAAATGGTAAAATTAGGACAGAATAGAATTTTGCTACCCTTTGATAGCTTGATACCGGTACCATCTTCATAACCTAACACTCAATGAATACCTTTCCTCCTAGCATTCTCGAACGCAATCAATGCACTCTTCAAACAGGTTATATAATCCATCTCATTCTCCAAATACGACTTTTTCCACATCTTCGTTCCAACCGTTTTCTCCGCGATCTGTTTATCGAGATCGAAAAGTTCCCTCATGAAATACGCCGCTTCGTAGTAATTCTGTTCTTCGAGTTCGAGAAGAATCGCCTTGTGGTACGGTATAAGGTGCCTGTAAGAAATGTAAGTTAAACTACAAAATTTGTTATAAAGGTATTTTGTTGCGTTATAAAATAGTTTCAAATTTAATCTCTCAATCTATGACTTTCTAGGTGCGCAGCTAGTTAATTATTGCTGAAGTATCAAGGCAAACAAAGTTAAAATGCTTAAAGTATTTTTTGTCTTCAGCAATCCTTGATTATATAAATTATAATTAGAATAGAATGCAAAATTTAATTGCAGTGAAAGAGTCTGGTTTATTATATTCCAACTGTAGTGTGCGTCACGATAATGTACCTGAAGGATAAAGACCTAAAATAAACATGCCTAATGTACATAATCATGTTCGTACAGTATCAAGAGGTTAATGAAATAAAATAGAGGTTAATATATAAAAGAAAATAGGTATAAAAGATATAAAGCCATAAATATTTAAGTCTAAAGAACCGAAATCTCTTGAGCTAAATATTCCGAAACCTTCGCACTTCTCTAGGACTGATATCCGGTAACGCAGCTTTCAAATCAGCCATAACCTTCTCTTTCTCGTGCCATCCGGCTTGCGGTAAGGTTTTTAGTTTCCTCGGGCGATTGCCACTGCATTCGTTGCTTTTGCTGTCGGAAGTACTCGACCATTCTTTATAATCCTTCCTCAGAAATTCGACGATATCGTACTTTCTCTCTGTTTCGTACTTCGTTGCCATTTTTTAAAAACAATTCACGCTTTCAGCGACGTGGTACTTTCGAACTTCTAACCGGAAATGCGGTCTTCTACAATCATTTATACAAAAGAAAAACTATATCGGTTAACGCAGTCATTGATAATAACAATAATAATTATTATTTATTACTTTTTAACACTGGGTTTACGGAATGTATATAAAATTACAGAATTATTTTAATACATATTAAATATAATTAAACAAATTTTCTTCAAAAGCTTTGAAGTATTGAAATATATTAATAATAATTAAACACTACACATTATATTATATATATATCATATTTTCATTTCTTGTAGTGTTTAATTATTATTTATATATTTAATTATTAAAAATATTTCAATACTTCAAAGCTGTTTAAGAAAATAGACTTCAATATACATTTACTTCCTTCAATGGATAAAAGTCCGTACAAGATAAAATAAAAATGCAAACAGCTTTTATAATTTTCCTAAAAAGAATGCATCAAAATGACACATCTCGTAAACCCAGTATTACAAAGAAAAAGAACTTTTCTTCCAAGGAAAAGTTTGGGAAAAGTACCAAGACTTAATTTGTATTTCGCAACACAATGGTTGTATAATTTATTGCACAAGATAAATATTAATGTAGGAAATAAAATACAACTATATACGCGTTATATGACCGTCGACAATATACACAACATTTACATACAATCATAATATATAATTCGTAAAAGGTTCACCGCGCATGCGACGTTCAAATCGTCCGCGCGAGGCCCACCAATTTTTTCTTTTAAATAAACGTTTCTCCGTGATAATTTCGTACTTTTAAGCAGTGGCTGCCACGACTTTCCTGGGTTCGAGCCTGACCTTGAATCCCTCGGCTCTCTTCAGAATGATATCAGCCTGCAGCCTGAAGTCGGACTCCTTGATGTCGGATCTGACACGGAAGTTTCTGAGGATGGTGGACAGGACGATCTTCAACTTGAGCATGGCGTATTTGCGGCCCACGCACGATCGGGGACCAGCCGAGAATGGCACGAAAGCGTAGTAATGACGGTTCGCGGTCTTTTCTGGCAAGAAGTTGTCAGGGTCGAAGGTGTCGGGGTTCGGGTAGATGTGGGGCTGTCTGTGCAGCTTGAAGGTGGCTACCACCACTGTGCTTCCGGCGGGGACGGTGTAGTCGCCCGATGCTGAAAATTTTTGAGAATGTTAGCTATGTTTGCAATTTTAATTTTGTTAGCTGTGCTTGCAATTTTAATTTTGTTAGCTATGTTTGCAATTTTAATTTTGTTAGCTATGGGGTTGTTAGGACTTTCGGGAATGTTAGGATGCAGGGATTTTCGAATAGGAAGATATAGATTTGGAGATTCTAGGCTTTCGGATTTGGGTAACTCGAGAAAGTGGAAATTTCAGAATCCTTCAGTTTGGAGCTGTCGAAAGACCGAGTGCAGTATTTCTGGATCTAGGGATTTTCGAATCTGAAGATATAGATCTGGAGATGCTAGGCTTTCTGAATGTGGGTAACTCGAGAAAGTGGAAATTCCACAATTCTCCATCTTTACGCCATCGAAAGTCTAAGTGCAGTATTTCTGTATCCAAGGATTTTCGAATCCGAAGATATAGATCTGGAGATTCTAAGCTTCCTAATTTAGGTAACTCGGAAAAGAAGAAATTTCAGAATTCTCCATCCTTGCGCCGTCAAAAGTCAGCACACTTCTCAAAACTTTCCAAAGTGGGATACTTTGAGCTTCAACGATCATAGCAGTGACCCTTATAAAATCAACCAAAGTAGGATACCAACCTAATTTCACGTCCGTCTTAATTTCACGAGCGATGATCGGTACAGGTGGATACATGCGAAGCGTCTCCAGGAGGCAACGTTCAAGATACTTCATTTGCAAAGTATCCTGGAAGGTAGCTGGCCTGTCGCTGTCGCCGAAAATCTCGTCAAGTTCTTGGATCACTTTCTCTTGGATATCTGGGTGGCAGCCCATCATGGCCAAGAAGAAACTGGATCCAGAGGCGGTTGTGTCGTGTCCCTGTTGAATGACAATATTTCAATCATTTTGCTCTTTCATCAATCTCTCTTTGAATCATTGATATCTTACCTCGAACATGATGGTGTCTACTTGTTCCTTGACTTCCCGATCGGTCAGCACGACACCGTTTTCACCGGCTTCGATCAGCAGGTCGAGGAAGGCCTGTCTCTTCTTCTCACCGACGTCGTCTTCCACGTCAAGATCGTCCTTGAGTCCGGCGGACTGTCCGAATGAAACTCCTTCTACGGAGGTGGTCTGAAACGAAAGACTTAGTTAGTGTTTCAATAAACTGTAGTGTTTTAATGAGCTATAATGGAGCACCATAGACATCTCTTTTTATATTTGATACACTTTAATTTTATTATATTTTGACTGTATTTTGTATGGACGTGTTTTGGTATATATTGTTGTATTGTTGTATTTTGTATGATTGTATGATTGCATTATTGTAGGATTGTATTTTGATATAATTTTGTATGATTGTATGTTTGCATTATTGCATGATTGTATTTTGATATATATTGTTATGTTATTATATGTTGTATGATTGTATGATTGTATGTTTGCATTATTGCATGATTGTATTTTGATGTATATTGTTGTATTACTATATTTTTTATGATTGTATGATTGCATTATTGCATGATTGTATTTTGATGTATATTGTTGTGTTATGTTTTGTATGATTGTATGATTGCATTACTGCATGATTGTATTTTGATGTATATTGTTGTATTACTATATTTTGTATGATTGTATGATTACATTATTGCATGATTGTATTTTGATACATATTGTTGCATTACTATATTTTGTATGATTGTGTGATTGCATTATTGTATGATTGTATTTTGATATATATTATTGTGTTATTATATGTTGTATGATTGTATGATTGTATGACTGCGTGATTTTATTTGTCACAATGTGTCATGGACATACTATGCGTCCAAGACATGAGCTTCAAGAATTCAGAACAGCAGCTGTACTCTGTATTATACTTTGATCTAATGATCTACTTTGATCTAACTGATGTGACTGCCGTAATTAATTCTTCGCTCCTCTTGAAAATACTCATGTAACAAGAAATACGTTTCAAAGGAATACGTATGAAATCAATAGCAGCTAAGCTTTCAGTGTCCTGCCAGGATCTTTACCTTGGCGTCGCTCTTCTGGTTGCTGGTGTCAATGATGTTCCTCTTTCCGCTCTTGTATTCTTCCTTCTTACGCTGGATAACTTTTTTGGTGAGTCCATGAATAATTTCGAGCAGTTTAATCTGATCCTTGCCGTACTTGGTCAGGTTGAACAGCCAGTCGGGCCTGAGCCAGATCTTCGTGTGACGGAGATGAAGAATGTCGCACATTCTGCAAAAAATAATACAAATTAACCTACAGTCACAAAACAAACCTCATTCTGAAATTTTGATTTGGTATAGAGTTGCAATAAGAAATTTTATTTTATTTTCATAAGGAATCTTTACTTCCTTAACTTTTCATAAGGAACCTCTTCCTTAACTTTTTAGAAGAAACCTCTTCCTTAACTTTCTTTTCATAAGAAATTTTTTACGGAACCTTGCAAAAATTCCTGTATTAGTGGAAGGAAATTATCCGCGTTACGCAACGTCGGTTATAGTTCATATACTATGACTGCACTTTTAGACATTAACAAACTTTCTCTAAAGGAAGAAAGCGTTTGCGTAAGGCGCAAGGAAAAACGAATACGTACTTCATTACAGCCATAGCGTATTCGAATCCGCTGCGGTCCTGTGTAGACTTCGAGACACCCATGGCCGTTTCCAGCAGGATCTCGACGGTCAATTCGGACATGTAATGGTGGCAATCGAATTCCTTGTTTCCTTCTTTGCGCATCTTCTCGACTACGGCGCGGGAGTTAGCGTTGAACAGGTCGATGAAACTCTTCAGGACGTTCAAGTGGAAAGTTGGGGCGATCAGTTTGCGATGGGCACGCCATTTTGGTCCTGTAATCATCGTTCAGTTAGCTTCGTTAGTTTCAGAAAATAAAAATTGGAAATAATTGAAATAATGACTGTAAGTGTTCGATGGATTTCTTTGACTCAACCTCTCTATTTCTCTATCATCTTCTCTATTCCTCTATTAACTTCTTCATTTCTTTAAACAATAAAATGCTTTAAATGAATAAAAATTTGTTCGATGGATTTCTTTGACACAACTTCTCTATTTCTCCATCAACCTCTCTATTCCTCTATTAACTTCTTCATTTCTTTAAACAATAAAATGCTTTAAATGAATAAAAATTTGTTCAATGGATTTCTTTGACTAAACCTCTCTATTTCTCTATCAACTTCTCTATTTCTCTATTAACTTCTTCATTTCTTGAAAGAATAAAATGCTTCAAATGAATAAAAATTTGTTCGACAGATGAGTAAAGAGTTTGAGAGTAAAAGGAAGCTTCGAAGAAAATCGTGTTCGGAAGAAAGCTACGCTAGGGTCATCGATTAAGTAACAGCTGTTTTGCTGTAAGACAGAGAAAGAAAGGGAGATCGAAAGCATTTGCGCTAAGTTTCCTGTTCTCTGTAGAATACGTTTTATGGGGAATTCATTGTCGTATAAACAATATTTAGGTATTCTTATACCTAATTAGGTATATTGTTCTTGTATGGATATTTCATTTTTTTTAATGTTTTAGTATTTTAATATTTTACTGTTGTACTATTTTATTGTTTTGGTATTTTACTATTTTCATATTCTAATTCTTTATTGTTTCGTTAATGCATTATTCTAATATTTTACTGTTATGCTATTTTACTGTTTTGCTATTTTATTGTTTTGGTATTTTACTATTTTAATATTTTAATTTCTTATTGTTTCGTTAATGCATTATTCTAATATTTTACTGTTATACTATTTTACTGTTTTAATATTTTACTATTTTCATATTCTAATTCTTCATTGTTTCGTTAATGCATTATTCTAATACTTTAGTGTTATACTATTTTATTGTTTTAATATTTTACTATTTTCATATTCTAATTCTTTATTGCTTCGTTAATGCATTATTCTAATATTTTACTATTATACTATTTTACTGTTTTGCTATTTTATTGTTTTAATATTTTACTATTTTCATATTCTAATTCTTTATTGTTTCGTTAATGCATTATTCTAATATTTTACTATTATACTATTTTACTACTTTGCTATTTTATTGTTTTAATATTGCACTATTTTCATATTCTAATTCTTTATTGCTTCGTTAATGCATTATTCTAATATTTTACTGTTATACTATTTTACTGTTTCACTATTTCATTGTTTTAATATTGTACTATTTTAATATTCTACTTCTTTATTGTTTCATTACCTTACTATTCTAATATTTTACTACTATATTATTTTACTCTTTCACAATTTTAAACTACTATTACTATAACACTCTATTGTTACTCTATTATATTATAATCTTAATGTTCCATCATATTATAGTTATTTACAACCATAAGCACCAATTAGCAAAACAGGAGTTCCGCAATTATTTTATGAATCCAAAGATACAAAATCAACGAAGATAATAAACCATTAAAGAGCAATTAGAAAACAATGCGTCGTTAATTAGAACTCTATAAATCTAAAAGATATTCAAATCGATCAATTAGTGTTCACGGCGTTCAGACGACCGTCACGGCGGCCATATTGGAAAAAATGTTAAGACCACGAGCGGCAGATTAAATCACGTTCTTCCTGTATTCTAATCGTTTCTAACGAAATTTCTCTCTCGAAGTTTACGCCAATGAATGCACACGTGCCAACCCATTCGGTTACGTGTTACATTCTGTTACGTGTAACAAGAAACGATCGAGAAAGGAAAAAAAGAGTCTATCACGACAGTGGGAAAGTTACGATAACATACTATCGCGAAACTGCATCTTTCACCGGGGTTACACGATGTCATTTATGTTTGCGTGAAGCTATGTTTCCTTTTGCGTGACTTTTCCATTAATGATAATTGGAAATTAAAAGTTAGCAGGTTGTATATCGGTCACCTATGACTGACATCAGAAAAAGAGATTGCATAGCGTTACTGTAATAAACCGGTTAATAATTAATGTCTCATGTCTATATATTTCGTGGTGATATAACATGAAAACAACAGTTCGAGATATTTTTAAATTACCTGACTCACATTTCAAATTCGAGGCCAAAATCAATCAAATCAAATTTTAAATAAGAAGATATTTATATTCATATAAATATTTGTTAATATATTTATAAACTTTACGATATTTTATTTATCATTTATTTTACCAAGTGTTTATCTGAAACAAAATTTATTTGAAAAACTGAAATTGCAACATGCAGAAATTTTAATACTCGAAGAAAAAATTTGTCGACGTTTTAAAACACAACGAATTTCAAACACGCTGAGGTTTTAATAACAAATATAGTGCAGTTACAACACAGATTGCATTTTAACTGAGTATTCAAAATTTGTGAAATATTCATTGTTATGAAAAAAGTGACCTAAATACGTACCAGTAGAAATGAGAAGACCATCTCCAAGCCATGGTTGGAAGAACCTGTATTCTGCAGATTTGTCGATGTATACGTGGCTGGAGAGAATTACTTCAACGTCGCGTGGGTCAATCAAAAATACTACCAATTTAGGTCCAACCCATAGCCTGATAACGTCTTGGTATTCGAAAGACCTTCTGTATACGTTTTGGAAAATTGCTGCAACAAGAAAAGAATGAAAATCAATCAATTATTTTTATATTCATTGTGTTATGTGTTTTCATCAAAGATAGTTGTTATAATAATTAAAATATATCTTGTCAGAATATAGTCTATAATATGATGAATATAATACTACACTTTTTATTAATAAATTGAGTAGCAGCAAAGATAATATTCAATTATAAAGATATGTAACAAAAGCTAGTCTATAACATGATGAATATAATACTACAC